CGGTGCCGAGGCAGAGCGCAACGAGGGGCAAGGGAGCCCAGGACCATGCGTCCCGGCCGCCCGGAAGCTCTGCCTCCCTGCCCGGGATTTGAACGCCCGTAAGCCCTATTTTTCGGGTAAAGTTTCCAAGTTCGGCTAGCCTACAAACTCAACTTAAAGCAGTAAATAAAGTTAAATGCTTTTTATTTTCCTCTTGAATATATTAAACTACTTGAACAATTTAAAGTGCTTTGCAGAAGTGAAGCGAACCATTTCTAATGTTCTGATTTTTCAAAGCCAGCCAACAACAAAGTTTAGATTAGTAATATATTTCTAACCAGAGTAATTTTCAAGATCATTAGGCATTTATGTAATTAGTGCCAAATCTATAAGCTTTTATTACGATTATTAGAGTAAAATCAGTATAAATTTGTACTAATTTACTACTGTTTAGACTTGGCTGTCAAGCCAAGAGGTTCTTATTGTAAATGATAACTGAGGAAATTAAGTGCAAAATTCTGTACCATTTCTGATCCGCTCCTAAACAATCCGTTTCAATTGTATTTGTAGCAGAACATAATGCCCTTTTAAAGTTATTTGACTTGTATTTTTATTTGCAAAACAAGAAAAATACCCTCTACGCGGGCACAATGAAAACTGATATTTACTACTTCCAACTTGATTAACATTGATTTTTAATTCAAAAGTGATGCAATTAAGATTATTCATTTAGTGCAAATAAAGCTTCCACCAAAAAGCGAGCCCAGTGAAGTCTATGTTAAATAAAACGGAGCCAATGGCTTTTTTTTTCCCGCCATCCAATTGACTTACACGAAACACTGTAAATACTGCATGCGAACAGATGCAAGAGTGGTTTTGTTTGCAGCTCAGATGTGCAGGGGTTTCGGCAGAGACTGAAGGAGACAAAGGAACCGGCCGACCGATCTCCAGGGCAGTTTTGCTGCCTTTTTTTTTTTCCTCCTCCCAGCTCAGGCTACATTGATTCAATTCGGCTTTCGAGACCTCGGGATGTTGCGAAGGACCTGGGTGCTCGGGAACGGCCGCTCAGAGCAGGGAGAGAGACCCAGAGCCGGGCCACAATTTAGGCGGAGACAGAGGGAGAAAGAAAGCAGATGGAGGTGGGGTGGGATTTTCGGGATTATTATTTTCCCCCGGCTGGATGGGTGACTAAGGAGATAGCACATTTGCTGTGTTTTTTTCCTTTGAAAATTATTCTCTGTGTGCAGCTGTAGGGCAGGAGGGGAAGACCCGGCGGTGGAAACCGCTGGGAGGAGCCCCCCGGCCCGCTGCCGGGCGCCGGGACCCGCGGAGCGGAGCCGGCGGAGTCGCTGGGGAGACGGGCCGGCGGCGCGGGGCGACGCGCAGCCTTTCGTGGCCGCGGGAGCCTGGCGTGCCCGGGCCGGGGTGAGGCGGGCGGTCAGGGGCTGGCCGGGGCGCCAGGGGCTCCGTTTTAGCTGAATGTATCGGCACAAGTGTGCGGGCGCTCGAGGTGCCTGCAGTCCGCTTCTGCCGAGCGCGCCGCGGGCAGGGTGGCAAGGCGTGCGTGTGCATCTATTCCGTGTTGTTGTATGTTTCAGGTCGATAAATAAATGTGTAATAGTTAATGTGCAGACACATCAGAGTAATAACAATGGGATGAAATCAAAGGATTATCAATCTCTGTTAGTAACTGCTGAATAACAATGCTGCGGTGTGATTGATAGCGCGCTTCATTTTATGACTTTTCTATTGCTCTTGATTTTTATAGCAGTATAAACAAACTAAATCATTTCTTCTAAGACTTCAGATCGCAATCGTCTTAAGGGAAGGGGGGAAATCAGAGAAGGAAGTCTGCGGGAGAGAAAAGAGCGGACTGGGCTGACACGCGTGTCAGAAAGAAAATGACAATGGGGCACATGTAAAATACCCTAATCACATTCCGCTTTCGCGCACTCCTGTTTTGTCAAGTGCCCGAATTCACCTGGGCAGCATCGGAGATGTATTTACAAGGATTTTATTCCCCGTCATCTTTCCATTTTCCCAGTGTAGCCAGAAAACTGCCAGTCAACTCCATTCCCTGTTACAATTTACGGTATTCCCCACATGATCATAGGAACTGAAGTTCCTAACAAGGAAAGGCTTTAGCACAATGGCCAAAAATCTTCAGAGTGACACGAGTGTCTTCAGAAATCACTTCAGAGCAAAGTAAAAGGATTTTCTATGACGGATCCAGTGATTTTTCCTCAATAAATAGGTTTTAGATTGTTACACACACGTAGAACTGGAACAAAGGGCAGTACCAGAAAATATATTGGTTGCCCCTAATAAAATTTATTTAGACAGTTTATTTCTCATAAAAAATAGAGATTGAATTTCGTACAGAAGCGCCTGCCAAGAGGCCAGGCAGTGGGAGATCATCTCCCCCCGCACCTTCCTTTGCCTTTCTTTCCTTTTCCATCTCATCCCTTCCTTTCCCTGCCCTGCCCGGCGGAGCCCGGCGGGCCCGATCCCGGGGTCCCGG